TTCAGAGAACACAAGACCGCGAAAATGTCACTCAAGCTCCCAGTAGCGGTAAAGGACCTGCCGGAGGAGAGGGTGAAGCAACGGGCGGCTCAGGGCATGAATCCTCTTCAGCTGATTGTTTACACCGAGCCATACGATGTTCTCGTTCCTGAACCGTAAGTCGTCGAGTTGGGTAATGTATAGATTAGATTTTGTTCCGTTTGTCTGTCTCTGTCTGTCTCTCTCTTTCTCCTCCCCTATTCACTCCTCTTTCTCTTTTGTTCCGTATGTCTGTCTGTTTCTCTCCCCCCTCACTGACACTCTCTTCCACTCTATCCTTTCTCAGTACGGGATACTCGTGAAGTGAATGTAAGAAAGTAGATGGGTGAGTGAAATTAATAAAGAAAATGGGAAATTGGATCTAACAAAGAAAATGGGAGATATACAATTTGACGTGTCCAGGCCACACGTGTTCTAATCACGTGAAGGTTTTGTGTGTTTCTCTCTCTCTCTCTCTCTCTCTCTCTCTCTCTCTCTCTCTCTCTCTCTCTCTCTCTCTCTCTCTCTCTCTCTCTCTCTCTCTCTCTCTCTCTTCTCTCCTCTCTCTCTCTCTCTCTCTCTCTCTCTCTCTCTCTCATTAAATCTTAATCCCCAGGTACAAGCGAGTGGCAGAAAAGATCTACAATTTCAAGTTCCGGACTGATGACATAGTGGTGACAACTTTCCCTAAGAGTGGTACACTGTGGACCATGGAGCTTGTTTGGGCTTTAACTCACCTCGACCGCATCAACGACACGCAGAAAGAGAACATCAATGATCGAGTGTTCATGATCGATGACGTGAGTTGCATTGAGGTTGCAGATGCGTTTGGTGTCGAAGAATTGTTGATAGGAAACTGATGCATGTTGCTTTGTCTATAGGTGTCTATGTGTATATAGAATGTACACATGCGTACACTCATTATATACAATATCTAGAAATAATTGAATAAATAAATATACGTATGTATGTATAATAGATGTGCTCACCTTTTTTAGGACTTCCTAGACATGGTTAACCTTGAGAAAGCGAAACTGAGGTTTTCTGAACAATGCCCCGAGGCTGAACACAAAGAAGGTGTCACTCGGCAACTCGCAGAAGCAGCTACAACGCCCAGAATCATCTGGACTCACCTGCCTCTCGCTCTCCTCCATCCAGACCTTCTTAAAACGTGCAAAGTAAGTCTATTGATTAGTGGAGTTGTAGATATTACGTTTCAGAATTTTCACGTTTGATATTTGAAGTCGCGTCGTAACACTGATAGAAGTAACACAAGCACAGACACAATGACGTGTACTCAAAAATGAAAATAGAAGGAAGGATTATATGTGTAAGTCTTTGGCAGTTTGCTTCCCCGAGAGGCTCATTGGCAGTGAATCATATAGTAGGAAATACCAAGGAAAATATAAACTTCCTCCATACCCGTCGAGCTAGATGGACTGGGTATCTTAGGAAGGATCCTCCGTAGTGTTGCAGAGGAAGGAACGTTACCCGCTGACTGCCTTTATCTGGGGTGATGGCAGGGAGGGCAGGAGAGGTGGCACCCAACCGGGATGACTGCTCTAGCTTTCACCTCAGATAGGATGTTCCAAGAAGGGGTATGGGACGTCTGATCTTGGCGTCTGGACGATGGGCTTCTAATACTATCAAAGGGACTGAAAGGACTGAAGATGGAGCTCCGTTCAGTGAGTGTATACTGGTACTGTCACTTATTCGACTTTGCGGCTCGTATGAACGGTCGAAGCACTTGTTGAATCCATGTCTCTTATTGTCATGGGCGATGCTACCAACATATGGACACTTTATGTGAGAAAGCTGTTAAGTTTTGAAAACTCAGATCCATGACAGAGAGCCGTCCTCGTAGAGATGTATAGTTTTACTAAGTAACTCGAGTACGGTATCCAGATATCTGGCTGTGCTGTGTTCGAGTTGGCTATGAGGTGTCGGTCAGTTCTCATGGCTTAGGAGCTGAAGCCATGGCTAGAAATCAGGCTCGGTATCGGTCCCTAGCGAGTAGGAATTGGGCACTAGATTGGAGGGACAAAGAGACCTGTCAAGGTTGCAATCTTTCTGCCCATCAACCTATTAGAAAGCTAAATGCAAACTCTCTGCACTTCGCCCTATAGATAGATCATCCCAGATAATTTTAAGGTGCATGATTGTTTGGCTGTCTTGAGCAGCTGTTTCGGGTTGAGATGCCAGACCAGCTACTAAGGCATCAAAGACAAGGCAGTCTGGATTCACTGTGGCAAATCCACAGTCGACTGCTTCCCTGTTCTTTGAGTCCCGGTTGAGAGCCAGTGTGAGCTCGGCCATGAGCTGCCTGCAGTTTGCATCACTCTGTGAATCATACTGGAAGATTCTTAGATTCAGGTCCCCGCATCGGGGCACGGGGATAGACGGCAGATGAGACTGTTCTCATTCTTGCACAATTCAGGACTATCCGATCAGGATATATAGGCACTTGGTCTTGCTCCCAGAG